CGTGAAATTTTCGGATAATAAATTAGCAACGAAGTGAATAAAATAATGACGAATAATGGATGGAGTGCAATTCTTAAATATGAGTAACCATTGAGAAGCATTTTGAAAATCAATGAGTAAACTGTGACATGGTGTAAGTTGGAAAAGTGATAAAACAATGATTTTGCTGATTTGTAATTTTTTAACGGCCGTCCTAGGAATTCCGTCCGCTACGTCAGTGTCCAACAAACAGATTTTTTGACAGTGAAGGATGGAGAGGTAAATGGAAAAGTTGAGTGAGTACTGGAAGCAGAATGAAATTCGATGAGTAGTCCGTGACGATGATATAAGTTCAGTGATTTTGAAACAATTCGCTCCTAATATTTGAGAATTTATTATTCATTAATTTTGAAAGTTTTTTAGGATAATAAGTGAAATTTTTTATTTATATTTTTTGTATGATTTTTTTTACTCATGAGTGATTTTAACTTTTAAACCATTTTTAAACATAATAATTTTTTTTTTACTTATAAGTAGTTTTTTATCTTATTAATAATATTTTTACTTTATAAACAATTTTTTACACAAAAGTGCTTTTTATCTTGAGTGTGTTTGGTAGAGATTTTTGGGGGAAGAATTGATTTTTGAATAGTGATATGATGGGAAATGTGTGGTTGAAAAAGAAGAAAAAAATTATTGATGTGATATAAAATATTNGATTTTTGAATAGTGATATGATGGGAAATGTGTGGTTGAAAAAGAAGAAAAAAGTATTGATGTGATGGAAAATATTATTTTATTGAAGAATGTGTGGTTGAAAATGAGAATTGATTTACTGTAGAAAATGAAAAGCTGTACCAAACAGGCCCCTTGTAAGTAATTTTTTTTAATTGATGCATTCTTATTTTTAAGTACCCTAAAATTATGAGTCTTTTGAAAAATCATATGAAAAGTATTTTGAAGCAAAAAATTCCGTGTAAAATAAATTGTCGCACGATATCACTTTTTAAAGTTAAGTGTTACTTTTTTATTAAAGAAAGACACATAATGTTACTTTTATTAAACAGTAATCTTTGTCGCTAAAGTATTTAAAAAAAAAAGTGACGAACACTAAAAAAGGTAACACAAATTCAAAATAAATGACAAACACTAAAAAAAATGACGAATTTAAAAAAAAAAATGACAAAAATTCAA